TTTTAAAAAAAGGCGAGTTAAAAATCTTTTATATATTACAGATTCATATAATTTAGATGAATGAAATGTTTGGCTAAAAAGCTTAGTTTATATATTAGCTCTAATAAAACACTACGATGCCAGGGCAAAGTTTCAAGTTTATCAAGAGCACAAAAAGAGGATCGTATGCCAGATCGAGTGCGATTGTGCTCGCGCACAGGGAACACACAGCGATCCTCTTTTTGTGTTCTGTGTGTTCCCTGTGCGCGAGTACAATCGCACTCGATCTGGCATATTGTGTTAGCAGATATCTTTCTTTCTTCATCCATCCAATCGGAAGCGTGCATTTTGGGTCATCCGGTAACCAATCCGTTGTCTGCCCCATGTGGTCACCGCTTCCCAAAACTAACCTCGGCTGTAGAATTGGCAAACCCAGTTCCGGCTCATTTTGGCCACAATGGTGGGTTCTCCGCCGGTCGAAATGGGATCCCAAGTGCCTGTAAAAGGGTGCTGGAGGGAGCCGCTGTGAATTTTTGGATTCATCCCAAGGATTTCGGTCCGCAGGGGCAGCAAAAACTCGTGAAACGAATGCCAGGCTATTACCAGAAACACATTTTCCGGAAAATGGTAATTTTTGACCTTTGAGCTTAAAAGTCACCCAAGTCCCCAATAATCAATCGAATTCAAAATATTTTTGCACCATTTTATAGAGGAGATTCAGCACTTTCTAATAGTATACAAAACTTATTGGCTGAGGCTTGCAATCCTTTTATTTTTCGAAAGATATATGGGCGCTGGTTTCATTCCCATCACCCCAAGATTAACAACTCAAACCTTAAGTTCAATTTGCATTTATCTAGTGGGGCTAGCTGCACAAGTCCACAAAGATTTTGTCACAGAAATTGACTAGATGTTTTAATTCCAAAGCTGTTAACTGAATGATTAGAATGATCCGAAGCAAGGCTGGCAAAAGCACCCGGCTCCTGTCCTCTACAGCGCTTAAAGTCGCTTGGAGCATCTTCTAGTTAGGTTAGAACAATGATATTCAGTGCAAGAAGAGTTCTAACTAAAAACAGAACACAGCTATTTAACTCCAATCGAACAGACAAAACCCCATAAAATCCGAACCATTACTGTGCTGTGTTCCCAATCAAAACCCTCGTGATCAATCATCCCGATCACATTTCCTTTCCCCCAATTTCGCTAGTTTTTCTGAATCTGACCAAGAACAAAATTTATCCCTTTACAACCGATACGTGGCTTTTGTTGAAAAAATAACCTTTCCCTTCTGCAAAATCCCCAGAGAGACATGAGCAAAAAAGTTGAAATTGACAATATCTTTTTTTGATCTTTTTATGATCTCCGCTTTTCGTCATTTCAACGATAAAAGTGAAATTTGGCCTCAAAGCTTGAAAGTTTATTTAATAATATTTAATAATACGAATATTCCCAAAAAAAAAATTGAATTTCATAGCGATAAACAATATTTTCTGTGGAAAACATTTTTGTGCGGGTTCTAAAATTCCCCAAAAACAATGAATTTGCATATTCGGGTGTTCGACAAAAAAACTCCTAATCCGATGATTCAAAATTGCCCAAAGGGAATCGGCCCCGTTTTGCCATTTCAACACAACAATGGAAAAGGAAAGCGGAAATTAGTCATTAAGTGGTAAAATTATCGAAAAATTATAGATTTACGGAATTTGCGTCAATCCGAGACAACAATGAGAAAGTTTTGCGCTCAAAAACCTGTTGTTGGTGCTCATTTACAAAAGTAGAAATTGCATAAAGAAAACGATAATCCATGAACAAATCTTTGAAAAAATCTTAAAGCAAAAGTAACTCTAGACTTTTCAGAAAATAAAGCCGGCTGCTCACCGCCCCGGAAAGTCGCCGCCAATGACGTTGACTTCTCACAAGTAATAGATGAAGGCTATTAGAAGAGAGAAGGGGAACGGCTGAAGACTCTGGAGAACAGACAAAAACATCCCAAAGGACTTAAAAAGACGAAAATGAACCTAAAAGAGGGTAAAGATAGCGTCAAAGAAAGAAAAATCTCTGCACCTATAAGTCTTATATGCAAGAAAGGGAACCTTGTGGCCTTGCTTCTTGGTCTAGCCTATCCTGGCTCTGAGCCGGAAAAATAGAACCTGGCCTGGATATCTTGAGCAGTCTACCGAAAATTAAACTAAAGCCATGCAAATCTGATTTGAATCTAAGCAAACTATCATAAAATAAGAAGCAAATGGATGTACGAGAAGGAAGTAGAACGGAGAATCTCTTCAAAATTCAAAAAACCTTCAAGAACTTTATGAGAGGGAACACTTATAGATAAAAAGGCGAAAGCAAAAACGATGATGAGCAATAAATTGGCCATCTAAAGAGGAGAAGATAGGAAGGAGTAAGTAAAAGGCTAAAGAAAGAAAAGAAAGTGCAAGTGGGTCACTTATCTTTCTCTCTCCATTCACTCAAACACATCATGATGAAAATCACTTCTCTTTTTGACTTCAAATTTTTTATGAAAATTCAAAATGTAAAGGCTTTAAAGTTGGTTATTTTATGTAGACTTTGAACGTCAAAACGAAATTTTGGCAAGCATTCGATTAGCTTTTTGGGAAAGGAATTTGAGAAGGGAAGGGGAAGGGGTGAGGGTGGATGGTGAATCAAATTCGTTAGCCCTAAAGGGAGATCAAATCCACTCCTCAAACGTTCAAGAAAATCTAATTGGGTGCTTGAATGTAAATTTGAGATGAACGCCAACATTTAATAAGATTCTAGAGGAACAGAAATCAAAGTAAACGTTAAAAATTGGGTGAAAAATTGATCGATTTGCTTGCACACAGAGGAACTTTTTCCTTCAAATATTGTTATCACCATACTGCAATCAGGAACAAAAATATTCGGGAAGTTTTGAAACGAAAGAATCGTGGAGCAACCGAGTCTTTTGCTCCTCGTTTCTCTTCACAATTGGGACCAATTTTCGCGCCGTTTTTGTTTTTCTCAAAAAAAATTCCTTTACCGGAAGCAACATTTCCTTTCTAAATCCGATCTAAAAGTGATGATCTTTGGATAAATCAATAAAAAGTACATAATCGTACAAAGTACATAATCGATTTGGTATACTATTTTTGATCACAGAACAATGCACATTAGTTATGCTTTTTTCAATCGTTCATCGTCTAAAATTTTGAAGAGTCTTTCCGTTTTTGCACGAAATTCGATACACCCTTCAAAAAGTTCACAGCGCCAAAAAAACGCCCAATCTGGCAATTTCGGGGAATTTAGGTAGGAAAAAGTAAATCCAAAAGAAAATCCCTTTGAAAATCTGCCCATTCCTTTCACTTTTCAAGAAGGCTCATCACTTTTAGTAAAAAAATGATAAAAGATTATTTTTGATCGATTCACTGAATAGATTTTGCTTAAGATACGTGAATTTAAAACTTAAAATGTTTAAAAATGTATCCGGAATTCGAATCCGAATTGAAAAGTGTTTAAATTTCATCAAATTCAAAGCTTAACATTCAAGATGGACGCTGAAGAGGATACTTGCACACGAATGGGGGAAAGTTTTAAATGACAAATCGTTCAGCGATTTGTCAGAATAGAATCATATAATCAAACACTGAAAAGTAAAAAAAAATTTAGTCTCATAGCCAAAGCTGGCCATTTTCCCTTTTTCATCTGAATGAATCGTCACCCAAATGGGAACGATCCCCTTCACCCCTTTGGACACTTCAAAAAAGAACTCCCCTCCCCCCGTCTCTCCCAAAGGAAATCCCCCAAAAAGTAGAATTTAGCCAATCTTTCACTCCTTCTTTTCCCCTTTTCTGAATTTTTTTCTCCCTTCAATCTTTCCTCCCAAATCCGATGAAATATAGATCAGTTGATCACCTTTTGAGTCATTCACTTCTTGTTAATCCGGCTTTTAAAAGTTATGAAGTTCAAGGGAAATGTGAACTTTGGCATTTAAGAAACTATTATTTACAAATTTATACCATCTAATCGTTAAAGTCAAATGCTTGTAAGGTCAATTGTAAAAAGCGGCAAAATTGTTGCTGGACCTTGAAATCATCGAAACAAAAGCCATAAGAAAATTAGGAATAAAATTTTTGCTATTTAATTTAAAATTTTGAGAGTTGCCCTAAGCAGTTCCCTTTCCCTCCTAAGGCGTTCCCATATCCCCCCCAAAAAAAAAACATAAAGCGGAAGTTGAGCGGCTTTTTTTGGGGTGAGAAGTTGCACATCCACAATTCAATTAGCGATCCAAGTTCCCTCTTGACTTTTCTCATGGAGATTTTTGAGGGATTTGGAAGAAAAACAAAGGGTCCTTGTTTTGCTTCAAACAGAAACGGCTTGACATTAGAAAAAGTCTTGCTTGAAACTAATTTTGTTATGACTTGAGTATTTTGTTTCAATGTGAATGTTAAGAATCTTACAAGAACATTATTTACAAGAATTTATATTTATAACGAAATCAGCGTTTTCAAGCATAGAAATTTTTTAAGCAGATTAAAATAGACAAAGAAATTGTTAACAATAAACAGAGATGCTTAACACAAGACATAAGAATCAAATCGACACAGACAAACAAAGTATTTTAAGTGGAAATTTTAAGGAAACAATGAGGAAAAGATATGAATAGCAAAAATTTGATCCCTGACAATCAACGATAAATAGATTGGTAAGGATTTTGCAAATTTAGTAAATCTACTACTTTTTCTACAGCAATTTTTAAAAATTGAAATTTTAGGCGATTAAAAATCGCTTATTTCTTCGTTTAAGCAGCAGCAGGACGTATCCCATTCTTGTCAATCTCTCCACTTTTCATTTCTGCACGAAGACCTCGCAGTTTTGTTTCGAAAGCTCGCAGATTTGGAAGGTATTCTTTGGCAATTTCTTCGAATTTTTGCCCAAACCTTTTACAAGTCTCACCCTTGTCTCTCGCCTTTTCGATCTTTCGTGCCTCGCCAATAAAGTGGATTTTCTCTAGAATTTCCCTCTTAAAATCTCCCAGCTCATTATGAAGTTCTTGATGCAAAACAAATAATAATATCTCGTAAGTCTCAATTTGATTTTCAACAATTGCATGACATTCCTTTGCTGTACTTTTTGCTTCTTCTTCAACCATCTGAGTCAATGAGTGAGTTCGATGCCCAAGAACAGTGCACTTGGCACAAATCCTCACTTGGCAATCATTACAGTAGAAATTATCGGTTAATGGGCACTTCCTCTCGCAATCAGAACAATCAACTACAAGATAGCTCTTCGCAATTCCAATACTTGCATTTTTCTGAATGTTCTCCATTTGTGCTGTCATCTCGGGAAGCTCTTTGATGAACTGAACGAGTGGTTGATTCTGCGAACAATCAGCACTTGCGAGCATCACTTGACAGAGTGGACACCGTAAACGATGACCAGCCGAGTAATCGATGATTTTGATTTTCCCCACACACCGATTGCAAATCGAATGTCTACAAGAGAGAAGTATTGGCGTAAGATCGGGCTGGTAAGCCGAGTACTCTTCATAGCAAATCGAGCATTCGGGAGTCGAGATTGGCCTTGAGAGAATGTAACCTTTAAGGAAAGGGAGCAAAGTCAAACTTCCGGAGTTAAAAAGATCTTTCAAAACGAACGAAATTTCAGTGGAACAATGGACGCGTCCACAGTGATGTCGATTGGCGGTTAGGCACGCTTGACAGATCATTTCGCCACAAGTCCGTTGACAGGCCTCATTGCCGTTAGGCCTTGGAGTGCAATCGGTGGCGATGGTTAAAGGGACAGCACAACTAGAGCAATTGAAGGCCTTGAACACTTGCATCACAGGTTTTTCCATTGTTGAAAGACGCAAGTCACTAAATAAAAAGATCTCATTTTCATTAATCCTTTTGTCTATCTTGATTGTTAACTAACAACTTGTATGTCATGGAAAATTTTAAATAAAATTAGCAGATTTCAGCCGATCCATACGGGCACATGTTAAAGTTAAATTAATGAGTACAATTGCGTAGTCGACTGAATTTGATTTCCTCGCGTAAGCAAAATATCAACAAAACCGATCTGAATGTGAAAAATAGTTTATTAATTACCCAAGTTTGAGAGAGGAAGAGAGGATAAAGTTTGCGGTACAGCTTTGATCCGCACCTGGGATGTTGAAATTCAAATTCTACGCACAAAAGGGGCAAGGAATCGAAAAAAGTGGTAGACCAGCTTGGTGATTTGGTTAACAAGCTAAGCAATGCGTCCAAAGTAAATCAAGTAAACCTAAGTCCAAACATGTTTGAAACACAAATTCCCGAATTTGACGGAAAGCTGTTTTGGAAATATATCAAAGCCACGAATATTTTTCAAAGTACTTTCATGAAACAGAATACGATGAAATGAATAAGCTAAACATTCTTATCAGAACATGTAAAGGAAATGCTGAGTATTTCGTAAAGTATGCTTCAAAAATGAAGAGTCACTACGAGAATGCTGTTCAAAACCTGAAATCGCATTATGAAAACAAATTGATTAAGCAAAAAGCAATAATGTTTGAGCTAGAATCAATTCGTTGACGTGAAACGGATACTTCAACCTTGCTCGCCACATTCTATCAAATAAAAGGAATTCTTGGAAGCATCAAAGCAGATGGAATACGCATCGAACACTTTTAGGCTCAAAACAGCATCAAAGCCAAGTTCCCATTACAGATGATTGAATGGCTCAAAGCCATAGAGCGCGGACAAAACACCCAATGGGCTACAAACGAATGGCTAGAGCCAATCAATAGCGAAATTGAGAATAAGGAAACTTTGAAGCATTGAAAAGCCTAGACCTGAGAAACATTTCAGTGGATAAGAACGGGCAAAAACAAGGCGTGAACACAGAATAGCACCAACTATATTTTCTGTAATTAAGGCCATCTAAGCATAGTATGCAAGAAGCAAATGGGAAAAGCCTACATGTGATCGTGCATAAAAAAACAAGAGAATGTGAAAATGCGCTTTGAAGTAAACCACCCAAGATTCTACCACATCCCTGGGGAGATAAATACTGCCAATTTCGACACTAAAGGAAAAACTGCACAAGAATTGATCGCAAGTCAATGGTTCGACGACCCTACTTTTCTGCAAAATCCTAAAGCAATGCAAAAAAAGAAATTGAAGGATTTCTACTAGCAGAAGAAGGTGAGGCCACTGAAACACAAGCATTGGCCACTATCTCCAAAAAGAAGGAAGAGCCCATTGATGAAAAAAGATTCGGCAGCTAATTTAAAATGTTTGGGGTCATGGCAAGAGCTCTAACAATTTCCAACAAATGAAAAAATAGAATCAAAAAGTTACCTCAAAATAGCAGTGATGAGAATCGAAGACACACCAAAGCACACCGATTTCTACCTGAAAGAAGCAGAGTTGTACATTTTAAAAGCACATCAAAAAGAGCTTGAAAGAGAGGCAATTAATCGAAAAGAAGAAGTAGAAATCGATAGCAATGGGCTATGGGTCAAGAAAGCTAGATTGTCAAAAATTATGCTAAGCATAGTAAAAACAAAGCAATAATCATCCACCACAAAACACATCTGGCAAAGCTAATCATTTTACATCATCACGAGATGATGGGACATGTGGGAATCGAAACAACGCTTGCAAAAGTGAGAGAAAAGTTCTGGATATTTAGAGGTCGTCAAGCAGTGAAAGCAATCACCCAAAGGTGCATAAAGTGTAAATATTTTCAGGGAAAAACAATAAGCTAACCACAATGGGTCGAATTGCCAAGCATAAAAGCAAATCGGGTACCGCATTTATCCTAATGGAAGCGCAGCCTCCAATAGAAGCAATAATTATGGATATTCAGCTTAGTAGACTGAATACCTGAGTCTTGAGCCTTTAAGGATATACACTGGTGGAAAAAAGTCTTGGCAGGCCAATGTTTCCTCATTTTTCGCCGTTAGATCGCATTCAAATAAATCGATCCCGATTAGTTTTTTTGTAGTATTTTGTGAGAGCTTTAAGATGATATTCTTCGATTTCTGATGTCGCTCTAAACAGAATTTTTGAAGCTACTTTTGCACAAGAGAGTAAGGTCCCTTTTCAAGAGTCAAGCGAACAAATAAATTTTGATACAAAGACTGAACAGCAATAAATCTACAAAATTTTAACAGATCTAGAAACAAAATACGACAATATACGATTGAAAACTGGATTGCTTTTCAATTAAGCAGCCGGAGCAGCTCTGCGCGTACCGCGTCGCCACCAAGCCCTACTAAAACCTCGGCCACAATAGCAATCCCACAAAATGTAAACGAAAAAGAGAATAGCGGCAATAAAACAGAGACTATTCAAACAAGTGAACATCATCGATTGGCTGAAGGTGATCTTGAGTTTTCCTTCGAAATTCATCGTTTTGGCGTCACACGTGGCCACCTTGGCGCAGTTCACTCCGATCATTTCTGGTTCCTCTCCTGAAAGACGCAATTCGGAAAGATCTTCTTCAATCGGTAATATTGATATTATTAAAAAGTTTCTTGGATTTTCTTATTTCGAAGCGGAACTTAAGTATTGCGGTATCTCTGATATATCTGAAGTATCCCACCTCTATGCAGAAAGACGAAGAACTGATTCTGCAGAAAGCGCCCAAGAACACACGGGGCTTCGACGATTGTTTGAATTCCTTGGAGAGTGAAGCAGTCGCAGTGGGCATTCGTGCAAATGATCATCTCGAGAAACATCAAATCAGTGCCCTTGAACAACAATTTTCCATCGTTGAGACATTCCACGAAAAGCGGTTTCGACTTTGATTTTCTGAAATTTGATAAAGATGACGCCAGCCTTTGAAAAGTTTGTAAAATTCAAACGCTGAACAAGAAGCCAATTCACTTTACGGTCATCGATGAGTTCGAAGAAAAAGATAAGCCCAAGCAACCATAAAAACCGATGAGAGTGATCGAGAAGCAGAGTCGAATAGCCAGCATTTGGAGGAAATTCAAGGAAAATGATAAACTGTGAAGGACTATATTGCTTTGAATCAAATAATGTTTGGGTTAAGCAGATAAATATCTTTGTAACAGATCTGTTTTTTTATCTATTCGAGTGTAATTGTCGTTGAAATTAATATTGCAAGCATTTACTGGTGTTAAGTGGCATCGATTTATTTCTCAACTGACTACGTTCTTTTTAGGAAATCATAAGAATGTGACTGTTGAGTAACGTGTATTTTTTTTGATAAATTTTTACTTGATCACATATTCCATCATCACAATTCAAAAACGTGAAAGAGTCAGCTAAACAATAAAGCATACTATGCAAAAATGAATCAAATCGAGTAAATTGAGTATCATTTGTGGTTTTTAAGTCATCAAAGAAATTTTTACGGCTCAAATTGTACTTGAAATTCATGACTATGGGAATCCAGGATAAGATAGAGATCATTCAACAGCTGGAAGTGTTGAGTGTCCCTTTGGTGGGATTACCTTAGGCAAGGCCTTTGCCATCTCCAGCTCTACTTCCTTTTCATCATTATCATCCGGTTCTTCCACCACAGCTTCTTTCTCATCATTGTTATTCACTTCCTGGACCGCTTCGCTTTTTGTTTCTTCCTAAATTGCAAGCTCTCATTGTCAGCAATCAGAAATGCAGAGTTCAGAGTTGCAGAGAGTGCAGAGTTCAATGGGTTATGGCTATTGTAATTTAAAGAGTTTAAAGTCAAACTTTTAAGTGATCCAAATCTAGACCATGATTAGACTAACAATAATTTGACTTTTAAACACGTTGACTCTTTGTCGAATCTTTTTCTAACAACCTCTAACTAACTAGCTTGTAAGTGACTTACCAGCACCAATCCATCATCATTCCAAAACACCTTGATATGTGGCCAAATGTGCTCTTTTCGTTTCCCAAAAAAGTTTCCTGCTGTCTAGAATTTTCCATAAATCGAAATCTTTCTTTAAACAAACTCTCAACGTCGGATTCGGCTTCATGCAAATCATTTGCATCTCTTTTTCTTCAGTAATTGAAGGCCAGTGAGGGTGAAGCTCGTGCCCATGTTTGTTTGGATTTCTTAAGATTTGTGTACAAACAAAAAAAATCCATTTTTGACCGTACCCATATTTGATGAAAGAGGAGAAGTAATCACTGGTGACATGACAGAGTATCTTTTCTTTTTTGCTGTACGGGGAATTCGAATAGAAAGCATCTTGTCGAAGAAGATAGGGAAGTTCTGATGCATGAGTGGCACCTAGAGAACAATTTTACAAGGTAAAACCAAGATTTGTGTACCGTGGAAAGGAAAGCGGATTCCAAGCACGCCGTAGCGACGCTTTGCCTAAAATTTTGTTATCATTTGAGGCTGTTACTATTAGGTTGATGCAAAAGTCTTTTTCATTTTTTTCGTACTTCTTTTGAAAAATAACAAAGTCATCAATTAACCTATGGTTTGCTCTGAATGAAAAGTGTTTATTGTTCAATTTCCCATCTTTTTAAGTCAATTTGGGTTCACTTTCAAGCAAATTCGAGAGTGAAAACGGGTTTTTCATAAAAATCTATAAAAACCTCTATAAAGAAATTGGCTGAATCAATTTCTCTGAAAATCTGAAAAAATATTTAACTTTTTGTGCTCTATCTTTTATTTATTAACATCAAGATTGGTTTCCTTAGCTAAAGCGTCTAAAATGCATCATCGAGCCGTCGCCTTTTTTGACTACCCGACTTCAGGCTCTCAAAAAAATCTAGACATAAGACATTTTAAACTCGTTTTAATGTCATTTTGCAGAAAAATAATTGGCCTTTCGAATGCAATAAACCGTTGTTCAATTGGTGCATTTGTTACTTTTTAACGGAAGTACTAAAAAAATGAAAAAGACTTTTGCATCAACCTAATAGATCATATTCTAAATTTATTTTACATTTGGGTTCATTAACCGGAATGTAAAAGTTCATTAGGGTTTATTCTTGTAATTTTGAAAGCATAAATAGCTTACTGTATATTCCCAAATGTAGGAGTAGCACGGGGTAGGCCTTGTCCGATAATAGTCCATCGAAAGATGTAAACCGAAATTTGAAGCCGCATCACTAAAAACCACCGGAAAGAGTCGATTCAATTTTGGCGGAATTCCATCTTTTTTATAGATATCGATGATTTCTTCTATTCCTTCCTAAAAACAAGTTTTTATTATTTACAAACCTGACTGACCTGTAAATGTTTCTCATCTCTCGCGTAAGACTGAAGCAAAACCCGTAAACTCTTCTTCGATGTACCTATTGTGCTGATGCCAACTATAATAAAATGTAAGATGTCGTCTATAGATTAAACCCACCAAAAAGTAGCCCCTCATATTCCCCAACTCCACATATAACAGGCAAATCTGGGGCATCTTCGCGTAGCTTCTAAATTTAGCGTAATATCTGGTATTGGTGCTAGCGAAGAATTGTTGAGAATGAGCTTTTGTTGAGAATGAACTCTCCTTTTCAAACAATTATCGTATTTCACTTCTAATGCAAATTACCGGAATTGGTTTTGGCAGAAAATATCCATCTAACACAGCAGTTAGCGGCAATCTAACTTCTTTGAAGAGTGGCTTGTAGCCATAAAATGTGCAACCGAATCTAAGTTTGCACTATGTTTTTTTTTGACTTTGACTCTGTCTTTACCGCTTAGCCGGAATTGTCCTCAAAAACTCCAACATCGCTTTATTTTCCTCTAATGTCGATGAATAGCTTTTCTCCGGTTTCCATCCGAGTTCTTTGGCTTTATCCCTAGATCAAAACTATATAGTCAAAATGGGAAATCCACCTGCAATATGGCACCGTATTTTTCAATCGCGATGACGCCCAGAAACCGAATGAACCGCCGCCCAGAAGTACTTTTTGATGAATCAGATCTAAATAAGATTAGACAAAAATCGTTTACAATTGTTAGTTTTCAAAACCTCGAGTTAATGGAGAAAGACAAAGCAAATCAGCACTGCTTGCGCCAGCACTTTGTCCGCCAATCGTGATTCTCTTTGGATCACCACCGAAACGGTCAATGTTTGCCGCAGTCCATTTCAATGCTTCTACCTGATCCAGATGGCCCATATTACCCTAAAGCATCACATTTAGTTTAAGTTGCCGTTTTAAAAGGCTCGGCTTATGATTTCCACTCACTGTAGTGTTATTTGTTAAATCTTACCGGACAGGCATCATCACCGGTCGAGAAAAATCCTAGAAAGCCAAGTCGATAGGCCATAGTGACCACAACGATTCCTTGAGCCACCAATTGTCTGAACGCCACAAATATACAGGCATCGATTAAATGCAAACTCACCGAGAAACTCCTTCGGGTTGAATCCTATGTGGACACTCCATCAGCAAACCACCGCCATGAATGAAGAAAAAAACTGGATATTTCTAAATTCAAAGCTGAATGCAAAGAAAAAATGATGCTAAAAATGGTTTTTATTATTCTAGCCAATTCACCAACTTTCCCCTCTTCTATCTTCGGTGCAAAAACGTTCAAGTATAAACAATCCTCTGAGCAAGCGGGCAACTGAAAGAGTTTTGATGTTGAGCTTTTTAAAGTTTGCCTACTCGTGCGACTAGTGGTTCCCATGAAGGTGTGACTTGAATGGAGCGACGGCGAAAACTTCGGCACGGCAAAACACGTGTCCAAGCATCTGGGGGCTCAGGACGCTCAAATGGTAAGGCTAAACTTCTCTTGAAAATAATATCAACTTACTTTAAATCGCAGTGCTCCAATCGGCGGTTTGGCATAGGGGATGCCAAGAAAAATGTCGGCTGTTGGTCCGTCCTAAAGAAATTTTGATCGGTGAAAACTTTAGCACTTTCATTACTTTCACTTTCATTCATCTTACTGAAGATATTTCTTAAAAGTCTTTTCAAACCTTGAACTGAAGTCTTCTTCCTTGTACGGGCCCCTTGAGTGTGATCACTTCGGGTGCCGGTAGAAGCTCTCTCCGTGACACTAATGAGCCACCAGCTCCCATTTCTTCTCTTTTTTGTCCTTTTTGTCTATCTGAAAAAAATCGATTTTATCAAATTGAGAAAACTATGCAGATAGTAGAACGGAGATTCGTGCATAAAAATGTGAACATGATAGCCTTGAACCCGACTAAAATGACTAGCAAAAATCTTTCACCGAGTGAGTTTTTTTGTTTTTTTTTAAAAAAAAATACCGACTGGGGCTACCAGTGGTGAATTTATCGCATACACGAAATATATCAATCACAATACAACGACACACACAATACTAGGCTATATCTTAACTTAACCCACGTCATGACAGACGGCTCCCTAACCCTAAGCTCAATGGGGAACTAAATAGCTTTTTTGGTGGTGAAGGGAAGATGACGATGAAGGAGTGGCTTGTCACTTTAAAGAACTGGGGCCACAACCACCAGACTGCCCTCCAGAAAAACCTCTCAACCCGAAGGGAAAGGAAATCCGAAGGGGGTGACCATGTCGCATGTGGGGTTCGAACCCTCGACCTTCCGATTAAGATAAAAGACACTTAACCAGTCAGCCACACGTGCTAAAAAAAAAATACCGGTTTCAAAAAAGAAAATACCGGTTGCAAGATAAAAGTGATTTGAAAAGAGGAAAGAGGTCTCTAATTCGTTTATTGATTAAATTAGTCTATCTATTGTCGTAAACAGATTTCATACAGACAAAAGTTTCAGCCTAGTCTACAAATAATCAAAAAACTTTTCAAAACATTTCAAAACGTTTCAAAAACTATTCAAAAACTAAAACTATATTCAAACTATCTAGATAACAAAAGTTTTGAGTTTGCGGGTGTTAATTGGAATGCTGAAAAAAAAAACTCGACAATCAGCTGCTCAAATGAGAATTTTGGAGAACAGGTGAAATAGGAAGGTCAAAAATTTCTCAGAAAAAAAATGGGAAAACTATTGGAGTTAAAATTGTGAAAGAGTCGGATGAATTGATTCAAAATATAAATCTTTTTCTTTTTTGATTTACACAAATGAATTGATTTTAATTAGCAGCATTCATTTGGGAAAGAGAAAAAAAACAAGAAAAGAGGGATATATATTTGGCAAACAGCAGTTCTCTTGTGATTGTGTCTAGATGCTTGTGTTCGGCGTGAATAAGCACCCCTTCAAACTCCAAAAAGAAACATAAAATCTACACTTTAGCATTTACTGCTTAATTTCCGGAAATTACTTGCAAAAAAAGATTACACTTGACGATTTACAATCTTACCTGGATTTACAATCTTTGCAGAAAATTTTAATCGTATACAATCCATGCAAAAGATATGTTTCACAAAATGGTAGTAAGACAGAAAAATGAAAAAAAAACACACGGTCCTACATCATTTCTTGAGAGCTTTTCACACCAAACTAGCACCGGGAAAAGAAATCTGAACATTTGAGAGAGAAAGTGCGGACAAAAAGTCTTGAATGTTTTCTCTTTTGGATTTTTGGATCAAAAGAGAGATCTGTGAAAGGGAACAGTTTTTCCCATTTTCATCCATTTCATCCTCGAGTTTGCTTCCTTTTCCGGGCACTCATTCACTTGAAAAAGAGAGAAAATTTTGTGGATGAGTGAAGAGAATATGAAATCTCTCACGTGCAATAGACAAAGCAAAAAAAACAGTGGTTTGGATTTACTAATAGTGATAGAAACTATTAGGTTGGTGAATTGAAAACTGCGGGAAAAATCTATTCAACATAAAACCATAAATTTATTCCCAATAATTTCCATTATTATTGAAGACTTCTGCCCATTTTACAGGCAATTTGCGGATTTTGGATTAGTAGGATTTTGGTTTGTGTGTGAGACAAGTGTGAGACTCAAAAATCGAGGACTGGAGATGTCCCAGTTTGAGCACTTTCTTCAAAAGAAACCCATTTTGGTGTCAATGGAAAAGTTGTAGAGAATCAAAAATTAGGCTTATGGCCAAATTTCCAAAAAGATACACTTGGTAGTTTCGCTTAAAATGCAAGTTTTGTGAAAATTCGTAAATTTCGCATTTCTTGAAAACCAGTTTTTGAATCGTTCTGAAAATTTGGATATAAGCTTGATTTTTGATTCTCTACAACTTTTCCATTGACACCAAAATGGGTTTCTTTTGAAGAAAGTGCTCAAACAGTCACATATGGCAATAGCCGGCAGTTTTCAATTCACCAACCCAATAGTAACAATTGCAATTTGATGTCCCTCATTTTCAGTATATTTTCAGTATAGTTTCAGTATCCTATTAGCTATGCCGCAGTCTTTGAAGTTTCACAAACGAGTAGACAAAGAAATCTTGTCAAAACAATCAATTTTATGTGATTGTGGCTCGTTAAAGAATGTTCAATTCGACCGAAACCCAACTGCAAATCTTTGTCAATTTTTATAAAGTGCTTCTGCTTCACTTCTTCGACTATTTATCTACATTGAATCATTTTTGCGTTGAGCGATCAAATTTAAAAAATATGTAAATTTGCATTCTGATCAAAGTTATCGATATGAGTAAGATAAATCAAACATAAAGTGAATAAATATACACATTTAAAGCTTGAAGAACTGACTTTGATATGGAGAAATTTACAGGAAAACTGATGAAAGCTGGCCGTCACACACAATCAGATCAAACAAAAACGATATGCGAAATTTGGGATTTACTTTTTTGAGAAGAGGTTTTTGGTGTCATTATATACAAAAATGAATATTCATAGATCAAAAAAATGATAAGATTTCTTGTACGATTAAAACTTTGAACTGTTTACGGGTTGATTGAACATTTTTCAGCGTTTTTTTTACTCATCGAACCGCTGCCTTTTCGCGCTTCTTCCCGGGTGGATGTCTGAAAAACAAATACAGAATTTAGTTCTAAAAATTATTCTTGTATTATTAAATAGTAAGTTTCTTCAAAAATCAAGCAAAAATAATTTCTTATTACACTATGATACCTGAACGATGTTCGAAGACGTGACAGTTCCTCCGAGAAAAGCTCTCCATTTTGTAAAGCAAAGATCAACTGATCAAAATCTCTCTCTTTGTCTTTTCTTCGACCTGAAATTAAGATTTTGTAAATGTTTTCCATTTTCAACAATCTAAGGGTCAACAAAAAGCTAAAGTAAAGAAGGGCTTCACAACCGAACTCACCAATTTGCAAGAAGTTTTCTGAAACTTTGGCATTTGAACTGATTACTGATAAAGCCAGATTTTGTATAGTTATTATCTATTTTAAATTGAGCATTACACTTTTCACTCACTTTTCTTCGCGAAATATGTCCTGGCCACGGTTTGTCTTTTCCTCGTCTCTTCCTCTTCGTGTTCCCTCCAAATAGCGTGGTGAGCTTCGGAGAATGATGTTAGCCATTTAGCGAATACTGAAAAGATTTTAGTTAATTCGAATTGCAGTCTTTTTCCATTTAATTCAAAACTGAGAAGATCTCATCTGATCTGAAAGATCTCAAACCTGAGAAGATCTCATCCGGTGACGAGTTCTCCTCAAAGCAGAACAACTTTGCGCAAGAGGCAAGCTAAATTTTTCAAATTTATGAGTGTATTTCATGAGCTTATCGGTTTATGAATGTATTTTTAGAAAATGTACACTAATTTGTCCAGTAAAAATTCTAATTTTCAAATGAAAGAATCCAGAAATCTTCCCCACCTTTCCCTTCATTTCCGCAAAGACGTCCTCAAGGTTTCGGAAATCTTTTGTGGCTGAGGTGATGAAAGATTTTGCGGCCTCATCGAACCTAAGATTTTAAATAAATTTTTCTTAAATTAAATTCAAACCTGTCATCCTCTTTCCTTTCTTTCGTTTCTTTGGTCTCAATTTCAGCAACTGTTTCCGTTTTTGCTTGACTTGCTCGTGAGAGTTCGGCTCGAATGAAACCAATTGATTGTTCAAGAGATCGAATCTCAGCAGCAACCTCGTTTTTGCTAAAGTTTAAAAGTTTAATTCAGTTAAAGATTCAGTAGAGAATGAGTTGAATTATCGTATTTTCTCTGATAGTAGTGCACCCCAGCGAGCCGAGTTGGTGACTATTTGACGGTTTACAAGCTTTTGCAGAAGCTCAAGAGTCTAATCCCCCACTAGATCTCATCGTCAGCTACATTTTCCGACCCCACATCGATAGGTTCTGATAAGCGCTTTTCGAGATTTCGAGGAATTTAGGCAACGCTCTGGGTGCACTACTATTAGAGAAAATACGGTAAATAATTAACAAAGAAGTTACTTACTTGAATCTTGAAGCTTCATAGACACAGTTCAGTTCGCGTTTCAGTTTCGTTATGTCGGGGAATTTTCGCTCAATTAGCTAAAGTTTTAGAGTTGGAATTCAGTAAAGAATAAAAAAAGAATTCTTTGTTTCAAAGTATAATTATTATATCGATTAAATTTTTAATATTTCAATCACTTTTTTACCTGAACAATGTAGTGATGCAAGTTTCGATCGGCTCGTGTCGCGTTTCGGACTCCGTTCACAGAGTTGAGTGATTGCATGGTAAAACCTAAAACAAAATAAGTTTTGACTCTGAATTCAAAATCTAATTTGTCAGCTTTATTAATACGATACACTTACCATACGCATTTCCATTTCGTTTCCCTTGATTCAGATAGTTTCCAACAGCCAAAACGAGAGCCAAATATTGTCGCAAACGTTTATTTGCGCATAAAGCTTGTGAAGTGGCACAAATTGCTAAAAGCTTGCTAATTGTTAATTGTAATGCTAATTGTTAATTGCTAAAGAGAAGTAAATGTATTTAAATTTTAAGAGTTTGATTAAAAGCTGTGTTTAAATTAAATAAGAAACCTTGAACTGCCGGCGAAAGCAACTCGACTCTTTCCTTGAACGATCGAATGATGTGAAGACATTTGAGTCGTTGCTCGAATCGGGGAATTCTGAAAAAAAATGCATTGGTAGATCAATTCTAAAACAATTTTGAGTCATTTTCTTGTCTAGACAATCAATTTTTGTTTTAAATGAAGACCCAAGATCATTGGTTTGTTTCTCATGTGTACGCTGAACGTGCGAAACTTGTCGTTACTTTTATGTTGATATTTATGTGTACGTTGGGAATGTTTTATGTATTAAAACTAGTTGAATGCTTAAAGATATCAAAAAGAAAGTACTCAAAAGTTTTACTCACTGAGATACTTCATACAGATATCGATCCGCTTGTGCAAGACATGTCGGTGATTTGAAGCGATTCACCGTCTCATTTAATTGTTGAGTCTCCTCCCGAGTAGGCAAGAATTTCAACATCTAAAATTCAATTAATTGAGAAATAGATAAGTGGGGTTTTTTATAATCTACCTGTTCAATCATATCCTTTGGTATCTTTCCCTTTTCATCCATATTCAGTAAAACACTCCGAATCTCTCGATTTGTCATTCGCAACTTTGAAAGCATAATCGTGCAATTTTGCGCCTTTCTGGAGTCAATCACGGATATCTAAAGCTTTTGAATTACCAGAATTATCATAAATCAAAAGCTCGCGCATAAATCCACCTCTTCTCTATGTTTTCTCGAGATACTGTAGCTGACGATACTCTCCGCGTCATCATCTTTGTGTGAAGTCGACGCAGCGAACATTGTTGACAACTCTTCCAAATCAATCTATAACAATGTTTATTTCAAATTTCATTTCGTTAAAACTGACATGTTTATACATCTTTTCATCTTCGACAAACTCCCAAACGGTTCCTTTGATTTTATCCTTTGGTATCTGAAAATTAAGCAGGTTTTAAGCTTGACTTTTCTTTGACTTTTCCCAAATCCTCTCACCTTTGTCCAATTCATCGTTCTCGTGTCTCCTTTTCTTAAAGGCACATTCTTCTTGAACTCTTCAACCGGTTTGATTGAGCCAAATAGAGGTGGTGGTGGTGGAGGTGGAGGAGGAGCTGAAATTGGAGGCACAACTGGCGCAACACCATCAAGCAAAGCTGACGAGGGACGAGAGGAACAAGGATCCGATGGAGAGGTCGAGAGATCCGAGGTTCTGAAATATCAATTTGTTATGCAATGCAGCAAAACAAAGAGTCAATTTTTGAAGTCCAGCACTCACCTTGAAACAGTGGACCTGCCGTCTTGTAGATCGGACAGTCGATTCTCCAACTCGACCACTCTCATTCTCTCTGCTTCGAGATCTTCTCTCAACCTCTCGTGCTCTTTCTCCAAATCCTCATACTCACATTGGGTATGTAATCTAAATTCAACTTGATTTGAACATGTTTTTCTAAAACCTTGACAATATCTCATTCATATCAGTTGTGCCAGTTAAGGGCTGATGAACATCGGTGATTCCATTGACTGTTGTTTGAAGAGTGAGATGTTGAAGGAGAAGATCGAAAAGGCGCCATAAAGGAATATGTTTCTCGTCACAGGGTACCTAGTTTTGAATTTAGTTTTGATAAGAATTTCCTTTCAAAGCCAACCATGAAAAGATGTTGGAGAAGACTCGCAAAATGAGGAAGAGCAACCGTTGAGCTCAATTTTGATTGCAGTGCTTCGGCCATACCAACGACGTTGTCGAAATCGACCGGTGAAGAGGCTCCCGAATCATCCGAAACACCGCTGAAATTGTTATTTATTAAAATCGAAACTTGTTCTGTTGTCTAATTTGCTAATTCCTTGTGGCACATACAGTGAACTATTTGGCTCAAAGTCCTCCCTTAAAAAATTCAGCTTCTCCCGCTTTGTTCTCAAAAACAAAAATATTTATTGCCGAGTTTCACAAGGATGAACGCCGTTCTTTTTTCTTTTGCTTTTCTTTGCTTAGTGGTGTTGAAAGCCAGTCAAGAATTCCAAAGAAAGTCATAAAAATTTGCGACTTTTTGCCTTTTTCTTTCCTAAAGTGAGGTCATTTAAGGGAAGATCTTCGAAAAGTGAATCGACTGAACAATGAGAGGAAAAGAGGTTTGAAAAAAAGAGATGGATCGACGTTCCTACAAAAAGTTTCCTCTAGCTGTAAATTTAATTGAATGCCCGTGCGACCGGGAGAATTTCGAATGAAGAGAACGGAAAAGAGCTGGGTGGCGCCATGAGAATGCGGATTTTTGAACGATTAACGAAGAAAGTTAGATAGAAAACGCTATAAAGCTCTATTAAGGCTTGAGTAATTAAACCAAAGAATAAACCAAAGAATAAACCAAAAGCTTTCACCTAATGCTCAACTCGTCCTCTTTCCGCATCATCTCAAAGAGATCAAAATGATCGTCCAAACGTTGCGAAGCGTCAACACGACATGAGTCGATTACCTAAAGAAATTTGAGATTTGGAAATTAAATGAGAATTTTTGACTCAAACCTCTTGTACTCCAAGCAACAACAGCTCGTAACGGAGATGATGACGGTATTCGGTTGAGTTCTGAAAATGCTTTACAATTAGAAGATGGAGTTAAAGAAATTGATCTTGTTAGCAATTGTAGTTAGCATTATTTGCAATGCAATTAGCTTTAAAATAAAGTTATAAATAGATTTGAAAGATTTTTGTTTGGTCGCTTGTTTCATTATGACAAGCAAACACTAGAAACTAGTCTGGAAATAACTAAAACCAAAACGTTTACTGGTCAAAGTCATAAAACGAGCTCATTGAGAGACTTGGCGATTGTAAAGTACAAAAAGTGGATTCGGCAAAGCGAAAAATTGGATACAACTATGGTGATTTATCATAGAAGAGAACAGGGAGTCTTTTTCCCGCAAAAAGAAGATTCTTCAAGATGCAAATTTTTGATGGAAGACCAGGAAGTGGACAAGAAAGTGCTGAGCTTTTCGATCAAAATATGAAAATGAGCATAAAAAGCAAAAGAAAAGAAAGAAACATAAGGAAACTGGCTGAGAAAGTGAATTAAATAGAAAATTATTCGTTATTAGTATCGTTTGGCTAAAATTGTCTGCATAAGAAAGACTGGCTTTAGATGAAAATTGATAAAAATTGATAACCCATCAACTGAGAAGCCTGGAATTGGAACGTTTGATTAGTTTATTGACAATTGAAGATCAAATCCTCGATTGCTTGTACCCATTGGATTGAGGATTTAAGGGTGAAAAGATTACCAATGCAAGAAAAGAAATCCGAGCTCTCCCTCTTATGAAATGAAGAAGGGGAATTGAGAAGTAGTTCTTCTTTCTTTCTTTCTTTCTTTCTTCTTGCTTTCTTTCTTCTTTCTTTCTTTCTTCTTTCTTGATCCACCCACTCCCCTCATGGTCTTATGCTCTTCCCCCAATGGTGTGCTAACCGGATAACCGGATATGATCGTTCTCCTTTTGGCAAACAAACAAGAGAAATCTTATTTCTTCAAGAGTATAACAATCAGTATAACCAAACGTTTTTAAGCTAACTGAAAATATTGCTTTTACCATTTCCTTGATGTGTCAATAGTTTTGTTCAAAAGTATCTATAAAAATTTCACCTCAGCAGGTCCAGTACTCAAGAGTGCGTTGATAAGTCCGATGACCGCCGTTCGCACTCGATCTGTTTGTCGCTCACACGAGAAACGCCGATGAAGAGAATCGATCAATCTTTGGAAACGAACACGCTCACCCATCAACTGAGAAGCCTGGAATTGGGAAGTTTGATTAGTTTATTGAAAACTATGGTCATTAAGACTTTATGAACTTTGAGAGGAAAGACTTTATGAGCTTTGAGAGGAAGGCTTTGAGGGGAAGGCTTTGAGAATTGTATCAAAATGAAGTTCAGTTTCTCGTGATCAAAAGAATCTGGTTTAAACAATTGAAAAAAAAAATTGATTGATTCAAGATTCAACACTAGTTAAACTAGAAAGTAAAATGATCGAAATTTCCCCAATCTTTTATAGATATGCAAATTTTGGTGAATGTATTCGTTTTGCTTTCTTTTCTTCTTTTCTTGTTGATCGAGAGAACAATCGGTTGTACTCTTTAGGGTCAAACGGCCCGGAACATCGTACGAGAAAAGAAGAAAAGAAGAAAAGAAGGGGAATGCGGTATTGTGCGGGAGAATTCAAGGAATGGCTTTAGTTTGATTGAAATCGAAATCCTATTTTGACTTTTATCAAAACCCTTTTAATTTAATCAATAAAGTTAACTTTTCATTTAACTAGTCAATTCGCAAAATTGCATTTAAAGTCTGTACGTTCAGCTATTTGAAAATACCAAAGCTGTAGTCTTTTTAGCTTTCAAAGACAACTTTCTGCTTAAACTTTTAAAGAAAACTTATTCGAAAATACTTGACAAAGGTATTTCCTAATAAGGAAATAGCTTTTTAGCTTTCAAAGACTAAGACTAAGCCTAATCAAGTTCCAGTAACGACAGCGACCTGAAAATTTGCCAGGATGCTCCTATGGGGGGCGCATGCACACCGCCAAACGGGTGTCCCTTAGCTTCGAGAACTGGCTGAGATCCAGAAAATGGGGGTTCAGCCCAAACCCAAATAGACTTAGTGCTAGGCGCTAGCCGCTAGCCTTCGCCACTAAGTCCAAGCCCAAAATGATATTTGAATTCAAATAAAATTTGAAGATTTCTAGGTAAATTCACAGAATATCCCATAGAAAATAATTTCCATTTAAAAGAAATTTTTCCTTTGCTTTTGTGTACTGATTTTGGTCACTTTTTTTTTTGATTTCAAATGTTTTTCTAATCTCAAAAACGTTAAAAGAGATACTCACTTTTGGCGGAAAAAACGGATTCAACATTTTCAGCTTTGCTAACATTTTTTAGGCCAAATTAGAATTTTGAATAAGTTTTTTTTACATAAAAACTTTGCCATCGAAATGTTTTGCTCCCCAAAATCAAGGTCCATTTTGGGCATGGTTGATTCAGGATTGATTCAAAGTTTTGACTTTGAAAAGTTTTCGTTTCCTAGACTCACTTCTTTGGTAAACAAAATAAAATAATAGTCAAAAAGCAGAACTCAAGAATAAGGAGAATTTGTGAAGCAGCTTATGAGGAAAGAAAATTTGCTTTTCATACGGATGTTGATGATTTTAAGAACTTCAAACTGCTTCAAATATATAGTTTTTTAAAAATCCAAACCTCAGTGATTGCAGTGAGCACTTTTTTGTGACCAATCTCGGGCACAAAACACAGACCAGAGAGCACCTCGACAGCAACAATCTAGAAATGAAATGTTGTTCTAATTTTGAATTGTATTGTAGACATTGTATAATTTGAAGTTGTACTCAAAAAAGACCTTGATTAAAATGAATAAAAAGAAAAAGAGTTTAAAAAGAGACAGTTTAACTGTTAAAACTTGTATTGTTGAACTTCTTGAGACAAGAATAAAGCTATGAGAATGCAAGAGTTCAAATGAGGGTCATGTCAAACAATCTGTATTGTATCTGCTTGGGAATGTGCTGGAAGAAAAGGAGAAAAGAAAACAGGCCCACTTTCAGGTCTTTTTCTTGAGTTTCGTGATGAATCCATCTTACAAGATTAGTCCTGGATGAGTCTCCGATACGCAATGGAACACTTGTTCTTCTTGATTTCATCTAACAGGTCATACGACTGGTTTTGCTATTTTGATTAAGAGCAACTAATCAAAAGAATTTGCAGAAGCAAGAAGGTCAATCGTAAGTTTTAAAGTAGGTAAGATCAATCGAATTTTTGGAAACTATCTCTAAAACAAGTCTCAAACTCAAATAGAATCTTTTTAATGAATGGAACGCGTGGCCTTTCTTTTCCCCTGTTCAACCCCAATTTACCCTCATCCTGTCAATGAATTGAATTGTTTGAGTAGGGAATGGTTGTGTCTCAATCTACTCACAAACAACAGGGAAAAGAACAGACAGACAACAGACTTTTCAGAATTTAACCAGCTTTTGAAAACTTTACACAATTTATTTAAGAGAAAAAAAAATTTGAAAATTGACAAAGCACCATTCTAACGATCAAACCATTTTCTGAATCACTTTACGTAGATTACGTAGGGTTTCGGGCACTCCTTTTTTCCCTTTATTTTTTCTTTTCATATCTATGATCCGTTATGAACCGTCTAAGAGATTATATGATTGGTCAATGTTTGGACTATTTTTGAGAAAAGAAACATGAAAGGGAAGAGCTTTTTTTACGTTTTTGATGAGTCAAAGTTTTTTCCGGAAAACCAAAAATGAAGGTTATGGAAACGTGTAATTGATAGATGGGGTAAACTATTGGTAATGTACTGATTTGAAATGAAAAATAGAAAATCTCGAGAAAGACTAGGAAACGAGAAACACTATAAACTCAGAGCTCATCAGAAACACTCCTAATGAAAGGAAAATCTGATTTCCCGATTTCCCGGTTCTTTAAACTAAAAATCATCATCAATCAGGAGATCAAAAGAAGCCATTCACTTTCTATTTTTTCTTTCTTTTCTTTCTTTTCTTTCTTTTCTTTCTTTTCTTTCTTTTCTATCTTTTCTATCTTTTCTTTCTTTCTTTCTTTCTTTCTTTCTTTCTTTCTTTCTTTCTTTCTTTCTTTCTTTCTTTTCTTCACTGATCTGAATACTCAATTGATATGGGAAGACATCCGTTCTCATTTTTTGTCAAAAGTTCAAGCTTTTTATAAAAGATTTGCAATTAAAAAGAAAAAAGACTAAGAAAAGAAACAATCAGATCAGTTTTAATGAACAAAGAGTCAAAATTTCATTTTCAATTAGATATTTGAAAACAAAATGATCACCTTTGCTTTTGGATCTTGACACTCAATTGAGGCGGCAATATTCCGAAGAGACTCAGAGCAATCAAGTACTGCTTGACGACCAATCTGGAGATAATTTATTGTATTTTTTCAAAAATAATTTAAAATCTTTCAATTTCAATTTTTAATCTCTCCTTTGAACTCACCGAAGAATTTAACAAAGCACGAAAAGCGGAGAGAAAGAAAAACGAGAAATCGCTGCGATCTTCACACCTGAACAGATTTTTAGAAGAACAGAACAGAAAAATGACAGATTTTTAAAGATATGCTGGATGAATGATGTTTTAATTTATACTTTGAAATTGTAGCTTGTAACGTTTTACTTGTAACGTTTTACTTGTAAAATTGTAGCTTGTAAAATGCTCACCACGATTCCTCAAGTAGATGATTGAGAATCGAGATGCCACCGTTCTCGAGGAATGAATTCACAAAGCTGAAATTGAAATGATAACAAAAGAAACAAAACTCATAAAGAAATTACTCGAAATGAGCGCTTGATCTTTCTGGTAACTATGGTTAGATTTGGTCATTTTGGTAGAGTGTGGGTAATCACGCAAAATTGGGAATTTCCCCGTTACTCGTCTCTTTTCGTCTATCTGAACGCACATTTTATTTCATCGTGATAAATGGCCAATATAACGGACAGGATTAGTGAAAATCTAGTCAAAACAGAGAATGGACAAGCGAGAATGAAAAGTGAAAGTCATTCTTTCCCTTTTCCGTTACTCTTCAGTCTTTTCGGGGTGAAATGGGTGCAGCTGGCACCAAATTTCACTGAATCTCGAGAAATGGCAGATTTTGTGGCCTTGAAATGAGGAGAGATCATTGAAATTCTGTTAATAATAAATGAAAAGGGTTTGGGTAAAAAAAAAATCGATCGGTCTAAGCTGGTTTTGGCTGGCTGTATGGCTGGCTTTGGCTGGCTGTATGGCTAAGCTTTGGCAAAGCTTGACTTGTTTTTGGTTCAAGCTATGCCCTTACCTAGCTCAAAACTCAAAAGCTTTGAAAAGCAATCTCTATTCTACCTAGTAAACTAAATCTTTCAAATTTGTAAATTAAAAACCTAAGCCTCTAGTTATTAGTGAAATTTGCGTCACTCGAAGAGTAAATGACGCACAGATTACTCTATTTTTGGCAAAACAAGGCTTTCAGTTCTGTAAGAAGACAAGCTTTTGAATAAGGATTAAATGATTGGATGGGAGAACTGGGATGAGAAAGATGAGAATACGGTAAAGATTTTCAATATCAAAATTTATCAAACTATAAGATAGATGAAGCCGGGTTCTGTAAACGTTTTTTCAATGATAATTTCAAAAGAGATAGTCCTTTCCCCTTCTCTTTCCCTCTTTCCCAACTTCACCCTTATTTTTTGTGCCTCTTTTTGCTAAGGGTTACCGTTTTGAAAGCAGTCGATGACTAGGCTCGGCTCTTTTTTTGCCGCTTCGAAACAGACTGGTATAGGTTGTGAAATTTGCAAGGCTATTGTCAATTGCCTGCATTATAAACAAAATTTGAAAGATTTATAAGAGAACAAAAGTTTTTGGTAAAACTCTTAACATTTCGAGCTTATTTTATGCATCGAAAATTTCTAGTGTCATACCAGTCTACTCTACAATACCCCACTTGTCCTACGTGCTAAATGTCACCTGTTTTCCTGTGTCCTCAAAGCGATCACCAAATCCTGAAGAAATTCCACGGATTCAGGAGTCAACTTCTGCGGGAATTTCTCTGTGAATCCTTTCAAATGCTCCAAAAATCGCTCACTGCTGTACTTGGTGCGAATCTAAAAAAGAGAAATCCAAATGTTGCTATAGGTTTTATTTGTTTTGTAATAGACTTTGAAAAAAAGTAATAGAATCAGCTGATAAGGAAGAGAAAGAGAAAGGAAGAGAAAGAGAAAGGAAGAGAAAGAGAAAGGAAGAGAAAGAGAAAGGAAGAGACTGTGATGTAATCAGGTGTAAATAGCCGACTTTTTGACCGCACTTTTAATTGGTTCATTAAAAAACGGAGACAGGTTAATGGTGTCAACATCACATTGAAAGCTTGAAACCTGAATATTATAAAGCTTTTACTACTTGATCAGGTGTTGCATCAGAGTCTCAGTATTGGCTCAAATCGTGAAAAGGAATGAATCAATTCTTGCAGTTTTAAGGGTTAAACTACAATTTTGCAATGAAATCTGATAAATCGATGAATCGATGAGCATCACGTAGCCTATAACATAAGCCTGTCCAGCTGTGGCTTTTGTGGATTGAAGGGACTGTTTCCCACCATATTGAGCTGACAAAATCACATTGAAATGCCGCTTTTCCCCCCATTATAAACCATGTCTATCCATGCTTTTCTCCCTTTTCTTTTATGAAGAAAACCATTTTACTGGGGAATCTTTTAGTCAGGATTTTCCTAGTCGTTTTCTTTTTCTCAATCACTAAAAGCCCATTGTCATCGAATTTTACGGAGATCAGCGGAGATCAAAAGAAAAACGAGAATATCATAAAACTTTGAGGCACAGATTTCAAAGCTTTTTGAAATTGAATGACATGACGGAAATTCTGGATTTAAATTTGAATTTGAAATTGAAATTCATGACGGAGATTCTGGATTTGAAAGTAGATCAAAAAATGAAGATTCTTCACAGAATGAACCAATGAGTTAAACAAAAGAATATGCAAATTTCTTGCCTTGCCTTCTGTTCATTTCCTCCTTGATCTCTTTGTCTTTCTTTCGTCTTTCATCCCATCTCTCATCACTCTCTTTTTGAGTGATTGAGATGCCCTCAAGCCAATTCATTGTGAAGGGAAATCCCTTGCTGACTATGAGCCGAAGTGTTTATTTTCATCCTTTTCATTCTTTTCATTCTTTTCATTCTTTTCATTCTTTCCGAAATCTCTCTCTTTCTCTTCTTTAAGCTCTCGAGGGTCATTCACACCAAAATCTTTGCTTTTCAATGGAATTGATAACAGGAAGTAATTGAGATTTTGCAAAATCATGCTTCAAAATTTTTAGATCAAGTTAAACCTTAAGATAGCCGCGGAAAAGGGAACTCTGGTATTAATACTAGTTTTCTATGGCTTATTATTACCGTAAATACTGTAATAGTACCCCACCCCCCTCGTACAGTCGCGTAGTCGCAAAAGTTTTTTAGTATTTCATTTTTTTCCAAAGCGTCCGTACTTTCAAAAATGCGTCTTTGGTATCAAAAAATAGCTGAAATTCAGGGCTATTTTTTGATACCCAAGCGCGCATTGTAGCAGAAACCAGTGTTAAGAAAAACGCGTTCATAGCTAGACTACGCAACACTCCGCACCGTCATTATGGGGGTGGGGTACTAATACAGTATTTACGGTAGTTAGTTATAGTAAGTAATAGTAATAAGTTATAGAAAACTAGTACTAATAATCAGAGTGAGAAATCTAAAACTAAAACTTTGCACTCACCGAATGTTTTGTCAGCATTGAGATCTTTTTCTCTCTCGATTGACCAAGCATCTCTTCGTGTTTCTCGGGTGGAAGATCAAGCTCATTCTGAAATGATTGGCATTTTAACAATTTTAATGCCTACTTTATATCCTTTTAGACGCAAAAGCCTACCAGAAAACTTTGGAAACATTTGTCCAACCGTTCATCATCAGCGAACTCCAATGGATCGATGGGTGGCGGGATAGCTTCATCTGTTGTCTCCTAAAAAGATAGTTATGCAATGATAGATGTGAAGAGTAATTTTACTTTCACCAATTAATAAGTTCATTATTTTGAAACTCTAAACTTTGCCCACCTTTTTGTGCTTATCTCGATGAAAACAGGAAAGGGCCCGATCGACCCAATCTTCCCAAAACATGACAGCAAAAGAAATTTGATTGAAAGCAATTGAAAGTAGCCAAAGTTGCAAAGGCCTTTTGTCTGAAATTGAAAAGTTATACAATATAAATTAAATTGAATTTGAACAAGAATTCTTCAGATTGAAAACTTTTATAAAAATTTCAAATAAATAAAAATAAATGATTACAAATATAAAACTGGAATTGAATGGATAAAAGAATCTTTCAAATTCATCAAGAAATTTATAAAAGAAAAGACTTAAAGATATGGAACAGATTCTCGAGATTCTGAGAAGATTTTTATGTTTCCTTTTCTTTTTGGGCGAGAGCCAGATTTTTGAGATCGAAAAATTCGATAGGCAAAATTTCCGTTTCAATATTTCTTCTCACTCATTCGCTCCTTAAGGAATAATCGAGCGTTTTAAAGAAAAATTCGAGTCAAATTTGAAAGAAATATTGAGAGATTTTTTAATTTTCTTTGGTAAACAATAAAAATAACGTTTTATAATTTTTTTTGAAAGGGGGGGGGTTAAGGGTTCGATCCCGGCGGCTAGAAAGTTTGGTTCTTTTTCCCATTATTATGGGTTTTTTCTTAACAACATTTGGGTAATAGGGGTAATTAGGGATCAAAAATCTTCCGTTGTGTTGTAATTCATTATTCGTGTCGAATAAATATACTTTTAAAGAATTAAAGCATTAAAGTGAAAACATTTAACAGTGATTGACCCCAAAGGAGATCGATGAAAAGGGAAAAAGAAAAGAGAAAGAGAAAGAGAAAGAGAAAGAGAAAGAGAGAAGAAGAGAAAGAGAGAAGAGAGGAAAGAGAGAAGAGAAGAGAAAGAGAAAGAGAAAGAGAAAGTGTTCATCTCGAATTGATCCATTGAGTTTCGAATTGGAAATGAATTTCTTGTGGAAAAGAGAAATCAACTCGAGAATCACCTTATCGATATTCGCATAGCAATCATTGGAGAAGCAAAAAGGAGGAGAAAGTGCTCATGCTCATTTGCGAAAAGTTGTGAAGTGAAGAAAAGAGAGAGAGAGAGAAAAAGATTCAACAGGTTGAAATGAATGTTCTTTTATTCGAGATTTTGATTGTAGAAAGATCGATTTGCATTCGATAAGGAACTTCTCAAAACAACAATATTCATTACGTAATTTTTTGTATCAAAAATTAGGCTAACTAATGATAAGACTGTTTAAAAGCAAATTTATAATTCGAAATTACTTTTAATCAAAGATTTCCTTTAATAAGTTAATTATTAAAGACTATTATTACAAATATGAATGATTAGGGTCAAATTGTGTCAAAAATGAAAGCAAAGGAGAAGAAAAATGATCGTGGATCGGAAAAAAAAGAGAACGGGAGATATTTGGATGCGAGAAGAGTTCTCTTTTCAAACAAAGACACTATCAACAACAAACACTTCTTGCTAAAATATGTTTTGAATTTAATTGAATGATCTAATTGAATGTTCAAATTGAATAATCTAATTGAATAATCAAATTGAATAATCAAATTGAATAATCTAATTGAATCAAATTGAAGCAAGCAGACTTTAGATTCTAGATTAGAGGTGTCAGTGTAAAAGATTGATTTCTATGAGTTTTATACCTATTATTTGTAACTAAAATACAAGAAAAATGACTCAATATCAACTTAGAGATTCTGAAATACGATAAACGAATCAAAAGTCTTCTTTCAGTACGCCAGGGAAAGCTTGTTTCTGTTAGGACAATCAAGCGCTGTACGAGTTTCTACAACTGATACAACTGGTCTAGTATTTTAAAATCTTTTCATTTAAATCAAATTGAATCAAATTTTATAGAAAATATCAAATGTTTACATACAAAAGATCGCAAATCACAAGGCGCACCAAAATCTAGGATATCTATCTCTGTGGGAGGCCATTCTCCTCCAAATTGCCCGCAACTCTCACTTCAATAACAATCGAATATGATGCAGAAATTTCCATTTCAAAAGCTAAAGCTATCAATAGATGAATAGAAATTTGAAATTCCTAAGAATTCAAAAAGATTTATCTTTAAAAGAAACGATTAAAGAAGCTGAAAAAACTGTGGATATTGGAAAAAAGATTTGCTTTTTTATACAACGTGTAAACAAACGATTTTTGAATTAATATTTTAGAGATTTGCATATGAAGTAGGAAAATTGAAAATCAGACAAATAAAAAAGCCTAGATGCTTGTTGATAAAGTCATGCTTTAGATTCGACTAGTGTTTAGCAATTTAGATAAAATGGTTAGCCAAAATTGAACAAACTTTGAGAAAGGCTTAGGCAAATGAAAAACTAGTGTATTTGAAAGCTTGTTGTGCCCAAAAATGACAAGTGGCAATAGTTTTGAAGGGAATATAAGGGAACTCTCAAAAATATAACGAATCCACGTTAAGCTGATTGCGATTTCACCTCGAAAACCACAAACAAACAATGAAAAAAAAGCTCTGCCATGAAAAACGGCTAATTCATGACACTGAGATTGTTGAGGAGAAATTTCTCTCTTCATTTCTCTCTTCATTTCCTTTGCCCATTCACCTCATCCCCTTCATCATTTCCCTTCTCTCATTTCATTTTGGTTTGGCAGATCGTTGGAGTGGATTATGCAAATTTCACCCATCGCACTTCATTTTTCCCTTTCCATTTTCTTTTTCATTTCTCTTTTTGCCAATTGGGACTTTTTTTTGACCAAAACAGGTCCGATTTGTGCCTTTTTTCTTTTTTCTCTTTCTCTCTCTTTTCACAGACACAATAGGCAAAATTTCGGATTTGCGACATTTTGGCTTTGCGTTTTTGTGGCATTTGGCATTGTTTTAAAGTTTTGAGTTGCAAAGGAATTGGAAAAAGTTGCAAAGTGATTCAAAATTTGCCCTGAAAACACACCAAGATATCGATAACAAAATAGCTATGCCCAAGGCTCCAAATTTCTCTTGATTAACAGCTAAAGTTATTCAATCAGCCAATTCAAACTTTAGCTGATTAACGTTATTCAGCTAACGTCATTCAATTCAATTTCCCCCATCTTGAACAATGGAGGTTTAATGCCAAAAATAAACATTTACTTTTCCCAAGGACAATCACTCTTTTTACCCCACATTTCCCCTCGATTTTCCCCTCGATTTTCCCCTCCTTATCAAGAAAGGTTAAGATGATCAAAAATCAGGAATATTACAGTGAAAAAATTAAGGAAATCAAAATTCTGTGAAGAAAGAAAATCAATTTACTCGAAAATCGAAACTCCAAATGGAGACTAACCTTTTTTTTTTGACAGTTTTTCTTCACATAAGCAATACCCATTTCTGTTTGTTTATTGGGAAAAATGTGCAAAGATCGTAAAATTGTTATAGAATTCTGAAGATAAAGGTAATTATCTAAATAAACTAATTGAAAAAAGTAAAAGTTACAAAAACTGTGCGTTTTCTGAACTAAACAGAGCAGGTAACTGAGACTTTGAGAATTCGAAGCTGGCTATGAGTGCGGTAGGAAAAGGTTTGAAGTTTGAAGCTGCTTTGAAGATTTAGAGTTGAATATGGAGATATCTTTAAACAATAAAATGTAAAGAACCAAGTTTAAAAGTCAAATTAAATATCTTTCCATCAATCTCCAAATGTCCAAATTAATTTATCGTCGTAGCTTCCGTTTTGCGGCAAAACTCTTTGAAGAACTGTGAAAGAAATACCAAAAAAAAAGAGAAGAAATGACCTTAATTTTCAAAAGAAAATAGATCGTATTTCTTTTCCGGTGAAATGAACGGCTGGAGAAAAAGGCTGTGACAAAAACATGGGAGTTTTGGGTCAAATTTGATAAGATTTCCTTGTTGCCACTGGGAAATTTTATGGGCTAAGCAGCTTTTGATCAGATGATTTGTTAGTGGAAGGGTCAAGAGATAAAGAAAGCTCTTTTTATCACTCGAGAAAGCATTCCATTTGCATAAAAGTCAATGCTTCTCAGTCTCTCGATCTCGATCATTCAATTGTTTAAAGTCGGCAAGTTGTTAATCAAGTAAATTGATGGATTATCTTAATGTTAATCAAGTTGTTGTTGTTAGTTGATTGTTAATCAATCAAGAAATGCAACGATGAGATAAATGAGCAAAACCGGAAACCCCAAATCAATAGATAATTCATCAATTTACCCATACGATCAACCGATACACAAAGAAGTATCAAATGAACGGATGAATGGGACATTGTCAACCATCCAAATCACCAAGGTCATATGTAAATTCATACCCGTCCCCTTTCCATCTCTTTATAAATCTCTCTCACTTGAAAAGAGAAAGGAATAAAATCCCTTGAAGAATAAAGGAAGAAGACAAAACCCTTTTGAGTATTTTGGACTTTTTGAGGACAAGGCCAAACCATTCTCTTTATATTGTCCGATTGGGAAACTGAACCGGGAATTACCAGGAGAACACAAAAGAATCCGGGTTACACGAGTTGAAACCAGCAATTTCAAGGTAAAACAAGAACAAGTAATAGAAAAGTTCAAGTTCACGAAATGTCACAACTCTTTTAAAGTAGAAAGGTCGGAATGAAATTCATCAAATATTTAAGAATTCCTTAGATGTCAAAGCAAATACAAAAATTTCATTCCCTGGCTGCGAAACACCGAACAAATTCCAATCTATGTCACCGCTGGTCAGTTTCCCCCCACAATAACAACAAAAACACGTGTAACTGTTTAGTATGAATAATTCGTTCGGCAGAATCTAAAACATGAGAAGTGTGACACTAATATTACAGGAAAAGAGATGAAAAGGGAAATGGAAAGAAGCAAGAAGTTGTTGAGCAATTATCCGTGGTTGGAAAAAGGGGCAGAGGAAAGGAAAAGTGAGAAAAGAAAGAAGAGAAAGAAAAGAAAGAAGAGAAAGAAAAGAAAGAAAAGAAAGAAGAGAAAGAAGAAAAAGAAGAGAAAGAAATAAGAAGAGACACGCGATTGAATGCTTTGAAAAAAGAGAGGGATAATTGCAAGATTTTGTGGACAAGGGAAATAAAGCAGACACTT